TAAGACATATTTGTTTGATAAAAATGCACTGGTTTTTCTATGGTGATTTACAGTTACCATGTGACGCCAATCCAGAAAAAGGCTGAATGTTTCCACTTATGTGAATCTTGTCCCTCTCCCCCCACCCCCAAAATGCAATCTCGACATTATTTGTTGAGACATATTGGTCTTTCTGTTGAGTAACAGTTACCATACGATGGCTCTCCAGAAAAAACATCTGTTTCCCCTTATGTAATGGCTGTAAGATGTCAGTTCATATTGATGCTGTCACAAGGCATTCATCCAGCCCTGTCTGTGGGCCACGCAGGCTGTCAACTTGTTTTGTAGGCTCCATCTGAGGCTAGACGGCTGGAGGAGAATACAGTTCAAATGGACTTCACGCCTTCACAGCATTAATACACTGCTTTTACAACACCTCATATTGTCCTTCACAGCCTTAATACAGTACCTTTAAAACACTGCAGATTGTCCTTCACAGCATTAATACACTGCTTTTACAACACCTCAGATTGTCCTTCACAGCCTTAATACAGTACCTTTAAAACACTGCAGATTGTCCTTCACAGCATTAATACACTGCTTTTACAACACCTCAGATTGTCCTTCACAGCCTTAATACAGTACCTTTAAAACACTGCAGATTGTCCTTCACAGCATTAATACACTGCTTTTACAACACCTCAGATTGTCCTTCACAGCCTTAATACAGTACCTTTAAAACACCTCAGATTGTCCTTCACAGCCTTAAGACACTGCCTTTAAAACATATCAGTGTCCTTCACAGCATTAATAGAGTACCTTTAAAACACCTCAGATTATCCCATGAGGCTAGTCTTGCGCTATATGAGCCTTTGACAGTAAAGTTCCATTCTGTTTATTTGTTAGAACTAGTTCCAGATCAACAGATAGTTGCTGCAAGTTTCAAAGCTCTTTCGTATCTTCTTGCTTTCATATTTGGAGGCCTGTTATACAACATGTTTCATTTCTTACAAAACACAAATCATCTATTTTACCGGCATTGAACAAGAAACGTGTCCCAAATGGCATCCATAGTGCACTACTTTTGACCAGAGCCCTATGGCCAGAGAGATAGCATCCCTATGGGCAGAGAGATAGCATCCCTATGGGCAGAGAGATAGCATCCCTATGGGCAGAGAGATAGCATCCCTATGGGCCCTGGTCAACAGTGTTTCACTATACAGAGAATATTGTGTAACCACAGACAACGCTTCTAACGTACGTTGCAGAACTTTCTGGACTGTCTAAACTGGCTCTATTCAGATCCTTGTGCCTTTGTGGCCATTGTCACACAAAACTGTCTTTACAGACAAGAGTACATCACAAGGCTACACTGCAACTTCAATGATGCCTTGAGTAACTTTGTATTGCAGCAAGAGACTGATAGAGAAATGCATTTAAAGAGAGGGGAGACGATATGCCCTCTACTGGCTTAGTTATGGACATGAGTCATGGATGTCTACCAACTATAGATATGTCCAGTCGTGGTCAAAAGTTTTGAGAACGACACAAATACTAATTTTCACAAAGTCTGCTGCCTCAGTTTTGATGATGGCAATATGCATATACTCCAGAATGTCATGAAGAGTGATCAGATGAATTGCAATTCATTGCTTGTCCTCCCGAGTGACGCAGTGGTCTAAGGCAGTGCCACTAGCTGTGCCACTAGAGATCCTGGTTTGAATCCAGGCTCTGTCGTAGCCGGCCGCGACCGGGAGACCCATGGGGTGGCGCCCAATTGGTCCAGGGTAGGGGAGGGAATGGCCGGCAGGGATGTAGCTCAGTTGGTAGAGCATGGCATTTGCAACGCCAGGGTTGTGGGTTCGATTCCAGTATAAATATATATATATATATATATTTTTTTATGTATGCACTCACTAACTGTAAGTTGCTCTGGATAAGATCTGCACGCACAGTGAGGCAAATACTTTTGGAGGATGGCCTGGTGTCAAGAAGGGCAGCAAAGAAGCCACTTCTCTCCAGGAAAAACATCAGGGACAGACTGATATTCTGCAAAAGGTACAGGGATTGGACTGCTGAGGACTGGGGTAAAGTCATTTTCTCTGATGAATCCCCTTTCCAATTGTTTGGGGCATCTGGAAAACACCTTGTCCGGAGAAGACAAGGTGAGCGCTACCATCAGTCCTGTGTCATGCCAACAGTAAAGCATCCTGAGACCATTCATGTGTGGGGTTGCTTCTCAGCCAAGGGAGTGGGCTCACTCACAATTTTGCCTAAGAACACAGCCATGAATAAAGAATGGTACCAACACATCCTCCGAAAGCAACTTCTCCCAACCATCCAAGAACAGTTTGGTGACGACCTTTTCCAGCATGATGGAGCACCTTGCCATAAGGCAAAAGTGATAACTAAGTGGCTCGGGGAACAAAACATCAACATTTTGAGTCCATGGCCAGGAAACTCCCCAGTTCCTTAATCCCATTGAGAACTTGTGGTCGATCCTCAAGAGGCGGGTGGACAAACAAAACCCCACAAATTCTGACAAACTCCAAGCATTGATTATGCAAGAATGGGCTGCCATCAGTGTCACGATCGTCGGTGAGAGAGGAGGACCAAGGCGCAGCGTTGAAGGCGAACATATTTATTATATTAATGATCAAACGATCAAAACAACAAAACGATGACGTGACAGTCATTGGTAAACACAAACCAAATACGAACAAGAAACCACAATGAAGGAGTGCCAAACGGCTACCTAAGTATGACTCCCAATCAGAGAAAACGAGCTACAGCCGTCTCTGATTGGGAGCCACCCTGGCCAACATAGATCTACAAAACCAGAAAGTGAAACCTAGAACACACATAGACTATACACACCCTGGCTCAACATATTAGAGTCCCCAGAGCCAGGGCGTGACAGTACCCCCCCCTAAAGGCGCGGACTCCGACCGCGCCCACCAAACACCACAGGGGAGGGACCGGGTGGGCACTCCGCTTAGGCGGCGGATCCGGCTCCGGGCATGATCCCCGCTCCCTCTCCAACCCCCCAAAGTACCCCTGGTCCGGTTGGCCCC